AAATATTCTTTATTTACTAAAGTATTAATAGTAAATAATAGACTATCTATTTTCTTCTCTTATTTTCTTTATATCTTCTTTAGATATAAACCTCTCTCTTACTCTTAATAGTGTCTATTACTAAGAGCTATTTATTTTCTAACTCTTTCTTAAAGATTTCTTTAATCTAAGTATTTTATATAGTTTCTTAGTTCTTATTCTTATTAGAAACTATATTTATATAGATAAGTCTCTTAGTAGGTACTAGCTTATAAGATTAAATTCTATAGTCTAAGAACCTATAGTAGAAATACTAGTTATTAGCTCTTTACTAATCTTAGACTAACTAAAGGACCTATTTTATAACTTATTAAGAGTATATATTTATTACTATAACTTTTATATATATAGTAGTTAGTTTCTAATTTATACTATTATTTTTACTCTCTTAGTTCTAGAATAGTTAAGTATAATAGTATATAAGAGCTTTTAGTAAGACGTCTTAGTCTTTCTATATTCTAAGTATAACTATATTAAAGAAGATTTTACGAATTTAGTCTATAAAGTCTTTCTATAACTCTAGTTCGTTAGTTAAGACTATATAGTTAAGAATATTAAATAATAAGATAAAGTATAGATAATTCTTTTTAATAGTATCTTTCTAACTAATTCTCTCTACTTCTTAGAGGTTCTTCTTAAAGTCGATAATATATAGATAAAATAGCTTATTATTTATTTTCTTTAGAAGTTATTAAAGAGCTATCGCTATAGACTTCTTATTTTCGTATACTAGTTTAAGCTATTTAATTAAGAATACTTAAGTATTATATAAAAAGAGATAATTATTAGCTTTAGAAGAGCTAGCTTTTTTAATCTTTATTATAATTTATAAAGTAACTTAGAGTAGAGCTTTTCTCTTAAGTCTATTATAGAGATACTAAAATTTATTCTTCTCTTTCTCTTCTAATAAGTTTATTACTATCTTTACTACTATTTAGTTAAGCTATACTAAAAGTATTATATAGTCTCTCTTAAAGACTTTTAGATTAGAGAGAAGATATTTTCTTTATTATAGTTTATAAGTATTTAGTAAAGTAGTTTCGTCTACTATATTTATATTATTTAGAGCTCTATATAAGAAGCTTTCTAGTATATATACTAGTACTATTTTATATAAGAAGCTATTAGATATAATAATATAAGAGACTCTTAAGTTTTAAGAGTTCTAGAGGTTTATAATTATATTACTCTATTACTATATAATCTTATTCTAGTTTATAATTACTTTACTAAGTTACGTAAACTAATTTATCTAAAATTTTATTTAGATATATAGAAGGTCGTATAACTACTAAGTCTATATAAGATTTACTATAACTATACTACTTTCTTTACTATTATCTTAAGTTACTATTTTATAAATTCTTTTATAGTATATAAACTTATCTAGTTATATAACTTCTTATAATTATAAGATTATTTTAATATTATAGATTAATACTAAGAATAAGATAACTAAATATTAATTATAAGAATAAGAAGAATAATCTAAAGAGAGAAGAAGAAGTAGAAGCTTAATAAATTTATCTTATATAAGAGGCCTACCTACTTAGAACCGAAGATAAGATTAGATAATCGACCTCTAAGGCTTATATAGTTCTAAACTATAATAAAACTATTTCTTTCGAGTTATTTAAGATCTAGTCTCTTATAACCTTCTTACTCTTCTTACTTAACTTAACTACTTAATATTAGATGTTTTAGTATATTAAAGTAGACGTACGATTAGTAAATTAAGACGTTTATTAAGACTTATATTAACTATATTATAAAGGTCGAGTTCTTTCTAGTCTTTAAAGTAGTATATAAGAAATTAATAATAACCTAAAACGCTTAAGCTAGGTTTCGTAAAGCTAACTTAGTACCTTTTAACCTAAAAGCTATACTTTTAAAGCTTAATATAAAGTTATAAACTTTAACTTCCTATGAACTCTCTACTACTAACACTTACTCTTAGGTCTCTTAGATCTCTTCTAACCCTACTAAAGCTCTTTTATAAATAACTCTTATTTAGAATCGAATTTCCTATTATTAAGAAAGCTCGTTAACTCTACTTTTTAAGATAGTTACTACGTTAGCGAAAGGTATAGAGCTAATAGCCTATAAGATAACTCTTTTATTAGCTAAGGTACGTACTCTTTAGATAGCTAACAAAGCCCTAAGTAAACGTCGTAGGGCTAAAAAGACTCGTGTTCGTTAAGGGGGGGCACTTATAGTAGAGGGTGTATAGGACATTTTAGCCTAGAAGGATATAAATAAGTAAGTACGACGCGACGTACGTAAAGGGGGAGGTAATCGGAAGGAGGATTAATCGTCTAAACGACGCTATAGAACTTACGGAAAAGCTAGTTATAACGTACGAACTTGTCAAAAAGCTATAGATATATCTAGTTTATTAGATTTTGAAAGTAATAATTAATTTAATGTATTGTGGTTGATTTATTTAATTTTGAAGTTTTATGCCAAGGAAAATTGATTCGGGTACTGATATGATCCGGGTCCTAATAAACCACGTTATATAAATGGTCAGTATCCTTGATATCTGATCTAAGACTTAGAACACAAGTGAGCAATTCCCAGATTACGCCACTCACGTAACTTCTATTATCGAGATCTCACTTTTTGGAATTGCCATAATAAAAGATTAAATTCTTTCCTAAAGTCAAAATAAATGCTCACATTCGCAAGCATGGATGCGAAAGTGAAGCATGGGCAGTTCAGCATCGTCCCGTATTATCGATGGGCCGACATGAAGCGAGATAACTCCTCTATTACCTACGTCGAATTGTTCTTGCGGGCAGTGTATCTCAGGGCACATATTTCCTAGAATGCGTTGGTTCATAATAAGTAAGCCTAGCCTGTGTAAAAAAAAAAAAACAGCACTCTGATAATAGATTTAGGATGTTAGATAGCTTAGAATAAATTCGAGGTATTTTTTTCGGATAATAAATGTCTGAATCTTGATATGGTGTAGTTGTGGAATGTGAAGAGGTTGGCTTGAAGCGTGGGTGTGCCTCACAAGCGTACTCTGTACAGGTCTACAAGTAGTTGGGAGCTCACGAGCTCTACTCGTACAAAGACCATCAGTGAAGCTCTTGAGTTCCAATGTAAAGTTCTTATAAACGCCTTTCGGGATGCATCATACGAGCGTCTGTTGACATGTGACTTTCTACGTAAAGACCGCTGTTGTTGTTGGAATGACACCAAAGCAATGAAGCTGCTTAGAGCTCTAAAACGTTAGTTATTCGAATAGGTATATCTAAAGGAAGGTCCCTCAAACCGTAAAACAGCCGCAAATCCCTGTAATATGACCATCGTGCAAGGACCTGAACTCGATACACTCGAATTTTTGATTGGAATCCTGTAGTAATTCAGGAAAAACATCACTTGTCCTGTGCAAGTTTGTGGTGAACTAAAAGCGAAGTATGACTAGCCAAACGAGAAACATCGGTTCAAGAGGAACATACCTGCAAGTGGCAAACTTGAGACTTAACCTTGGACGCGAGAACGCTGACCACATATTCATCTTGACTGAGGAAAAAGGCAAACAAAGCAGCTTCGTCGGAAGTACCCCACAGGTGGCCAGGAGCTGTGTCGTAAAGAAATCCGACTCCAGTAATCCCAGCACAAAACCCTAAAGAGCTAACTTATACACCTTAACTGTGGAGTGTTGCCCATAGCTAGATTCGATCAAGTAACTTGCTGGGTTATAGGAATCACTCTGCAACTGCTGCAAAGTGGCAATATCATCTTCATAGAGAACGGGGAGCAGCAGCGGATAAGGAGGCGTCCAGAGAATGTTTTTGAGGCCTGGTTGTTTGTCTGTGTCCATGCGTATTCTCACAATCCTCATAATCAATACCAAAGTCAGGATACAGAAAAGATGGTGTGGGGTTCAACTTACATCCATGGCAAGACAGATTCCATTGAGGTCTTGTATCCTCCATCGAGTAACCGTTAGCCGCTGTTCATCAGTCGAGTTGATGCCTCCTAAAATTTCATCAGGGTACTTGCCAACTGTGAACGATTCGAAACCTAGTGGGCTGGAAACTACCCATATAGCTTTTGGTAGACTTGTACTGTACAACAATAGGAAGAAACTTGCTTCTTTACAACGTAGGCAAGATCTGCCGTCGCAAAAGATGAAAGACAGGAAAGCTGACCTGCACCAATTTATTTCCACCACTGAGGGAAACTACATCCGCTATCAGCCAGAATTATACCACAAATACAGCATGAGAAACCCATAAGTCCTGATACACTGTCAGGTGAAGGCGGCGGTCGTGCTGTTTTGGAAGGATGCAAAAGAAAGGGAAGCTTGGAAGACACATAAATAGATGCGAGGTAGTCGAGTCGGAATATGTATTTTCCGACGATCTTGATCCAAGCCTCTTATCCCACGGGATGTGCCACTACAAAGTAGGTTTTTAGGACAGATTAGGAATATGAAAACACTATTAAATACCGATGCTAGTCAATACGACGAAGACCCTTCGCACCGATATCTATCTGGTCCAACCTTTCTTTCCCAACGTCAATAGCCTCAGGAACGAGGTTACACTCCAAGAACTCAGACATCATTTCCATAGTGCCCTCAAATTAACTCGGAAGTACTGGATCCCCAAAGTACATGTCGAAAACTTTATCCGAGCCTGTCTCAACGACCTGTCGAAACAAAGGACTGCTTTTCTACCTTCATTAGACTGCATTTCTATATTAAAGATTCAGTAATGTCGGAATCGTAGCTTTCAAAGAACCGTGAGCTAGAAAAATAAGGAACAGTATCGCGAAAACAGAATCGTAGAACCAGGATCGAGGTTGCTCGAGCAACATGTTCGGCTCACGGCCAGCAGCGGCAGAATGAGTGATGACTAATACCCCACACTTGCCCGTCCTTGGCTCACGTTCATTTGCTATAGGTTGAAGTATTAATTTCCACAAGTCAACAAATAAAGTCATTTGGTCGGGTGGTGTAGTTGGTTATCACATCTCGTTAACAAACTTGTTAATATCTTAGCGATAAGATGCCGAGAAGGTCCTGGGATCGAGCCCCAGCCTGATCATAATTTTTTATCTCAGAACTTCAATCTAGTAATTAATGACGTTCTTCAAAATTTATACTAAAATCACCCTTTTTACCTAATAGTCTGTGCCCCTCGAGGTGAACCTCGCGGTCGGTGAAAGCGAAATGGCTTTCATAGCGTTTCGAGGAAACCTTACTATGAGCACACGTAGGAGGGCAAGGAAAGGGGAAGGCACAAAACACAAACAAAGAAGCAGAAGAGGCGATATCATAACCATACCAGTGTAGCGTATATTGTCAAGCAAGAATGAGATGGATTATCTATCTGGTTTGCAGCGGAGTCGTGCCTTGATATACTGCAAGACCCCCTGCTACCACGGCTAAGTTGCATCCCTATATGTAGATATCATTTAGAAATTTACCTAGGGGCCATGAAAGCGTTGTGGGTCACACGGATTGGCTCGAGCGGGGGGGAAAAAAAACCGAGCTTCATTAGCTTTATCATGCAACACCTCAGTGAGTGGTGAGTGTCAAATTACTCAAATAGTAAATTTTATTTCGTTACGTTTATAGCCATTATACCCTCTTTTCATGCAAATTATGGGGCTTTGGCATGTTAAACTCGCTTGAACCTCATCATCAACGTGCTTGAGTTTATCGTCTTCTCCCACCATTCCATTCCCACGCCCACCCTCTTTTCAGTGTCACGGCCAGAGTATTTGAGTTGGTCGTTTCTTTAACCCACGTCATCCCCCATGTCCACCATCTCCTCCTAGGCGTCCCTGGGCGTGTGTAACAAATGATCCTCTGCTGCCTTTCATCGAAACAGAATCGATTAGTCAACTCCTGGTTCTGCTTCTTTATAGCAGCCGACACTTTGCCATAATACTCTGGTCCTTTTGCTAAGTTATCAACTATCTCATTCACACAACTATTGTGCAAGATACCCGCTGCACTTACCAAACCCACTGGCTCCTCAAGTAAGATAGACTTTTGAAGCACATAGAAGAAAAGAGAAACATTCAATAGAGCGACAACACCAAGTATGCTCATGATTATATAAGCAATAGGTGAAACAACAATTAAGCGGCTTTCAACTAAAGAAATAATTCCCGTTCCATTCATAGGATGGTCCACAGGTTTGAAAAGGTCAGCGCTAGCAAGTACAGCAAAGGTAGTGGAGAACAGTGTTAATACGGCATCGATGATATTATCAGGGCGTAGCGGCGACTGTGGAAATCGTTTGGCCGCAATCCTGTAAACGTGGCGTATGAATTCGTCGCCTTTTGTATACTCGAGTTTGTCGAAGCAATTGAACGCGGGCAGTTGCATTTCATAGAACTGCCAAATGGCACCGGGTCTGTATTTTGTCATATTTGAACGGTTCGGAACAAAACTCTTTAAAGAGGGTTCTGATGATGGATCTAGAAGTGCTAGAGTCAACATACCCCGCAGAGAAAATGCTGGTGGAGAATTGATGGAAACTACTCCAGTGGGGAGAGACTTACTCATATCAGCAACAAGAGTACCAGCAGTCATTCGATAAGAGGGTATACAAGAGATCAAGCTGAAATTCGCTATGCTGTTTGAACTGTTAATATATCGAGCTGTCAAAATGCTGAGACGGCTCCAGCCACTGTCGGCTGAACAAGTAGTTGTCGACCACGCCTTTCCGTACGTCACAGGAATATCCAGTGTAGGGACTCCAGGAAACTCTGGGATAGTGATTACACTGATTGTACCAGCGATCCCACACCCGCGATCATTGGCGGTAATTTCGACTGTGGTGGCTCTAGCGGGGACACCAGGCGTTCCCGGGGGGAGAACAGTTCTGTTGTAATCCAATTCTGACATATACTCGCAGTCGAGATGTGCCGAATATCCTATCGTTTCGATTGAAGCACTGCCCTCATGAATCTTGCCGGATGTAGTAAATTGTGAGAAGGCGAATTCATCATGCATCCATGGCGGGCTGCGAGCATCTTGGATTCTGATTGCGGCCGCAGAATTCAACGACAGCCGCAAATCTGGGATATTGTTGCCGAACATGGGATCAAATTTTGTTAAAATCGATACCGGCAATGCTGTATTAGAAGGAAACGAAGCCGTCGTGAAAAGAAACGCAACCAATGGCACCGCCAACATCGCCAAAAGAACCGACGACAACATGCAGAATCCAAGTATATAATGATTGTTCCTAAAAGCTAGCCTCCAAGCATACATCACAGGCTCAGTCTTATAATCTAGCATGATCGTAGCCTCTGCAGGTCGTCCTCCAGCTTTTTTCAGATCGACATATGGCTGTCTGTCTGCGAATGAGCAGATAGTGGATTCCCACATTGTTCTATAGAAAGTCATGACCAAGGCGGGGAAGGACGTGTATAGGATACCTTGTGTCCAGATTGCTCTCTCTACTTCAGGGTCGCGGGATAAGAATCCAGGTGCGTTGCGAAGGGGCGCGAATCCGTTGTTTGTTTTGGAGATGCGGTTGAGTACGGCGATGGTTGTGATGAGCGATATTGTAGTGGCGAGTAAGACTGATAACCAGGGGTATTTGATTTTCCACGACTTCCATTCTTTCGTACTTGAGTAGTCGATCATGGAGTTTGCATGAGTTGGGGTAGTAGCACTCTCAACATTCTGTGGAAGAGGCGTGGTGTTCGGCTGTAGCGCAATAGAATTTTCATCATTCTGCGGGTTTGTTCCCGGGATTTCTGGCTCGGTGATCTCTGGATCTCTTTCTGGAGTGGGTGCTCGGGGTATAGGTTGATCTAGTGCAATAGCACTAATATCATTACCATTCTCTGTATATCTATCGAGAGAGGGTTGTTCGAACTGGGGTATTGATTGATCTAAGGCAATGGCATCATCACCCTCGACAGTCACTATAGGGCTGTCCAAAGGTATTGGTTGAACATTGGCTACCCTAACCAGTGATTCAGGGGGGGCCATAACGGTGAAGTTTGAGGTTGGTGGTGTTAAGGGGGTTCCACCCAATTCAAGACTCCCTCGTGGTCTTCCTTGAGGTTCTACTGCTGCTGGCTCAGCACTTCCCAACAATGGTCTAGTACTTCTAAACGATGGAGCACTATTGCTTGCTGCAGGATTGAAATACACGCCGAGTGAATTCGAAGCAGATGAAGGACGTGTCTCTAGCGGTCCAGACACTCTGGTAACACTTTGCGAATTCGTGTCATCCATTGTTGGCAATTTTTGATTTGTTGGTGATTTCACAGAGTTCGAATGGTACAATTTACTACTCTGAGGTTAACAAACCAACTTATAACCGCCTCAAAATCTGCCTTCACCTGCGGGGGTGCGCAGCTTGAAGCCTTACCTAAGATATGTCTCAGTATAACCAAACTTGTAAGGCAGATTTAACCTCAAAAGTAACAATACAAACCAACGAAACAAAAGGGATACATTGATAAGGTATATCAAAATACAACTATTACTCAGGGGAAGTGATTCATATCTATAATCAACATTTCTTACTGTTTTGAACCCCATTTGACCAAGGCAAGGAATATGTTCACGGGCCTCCGGGGCTGAAAGGCTGAAAAGCTGAAAACGCCGTCGTCCATTTCATTCTATTATTAGACTTGCCAGCAAGACACGGCCCAAAAGAAGCAAACAAATAAATTGAAAGCAGTCGAGAAGCGTGGATTTGACATCCTGGTTCGACCTCCCTTCATTTACTGACCCAACATCCGTAGTCTAGCATCGTCAATCCGTCAAGAACACCATCCGCAAGTAGTCTCAAAAGGACAATGCAAATCCAAGCGTACATCTCCTTTTTGGGTACACTTTTAACTATTGCAAATGCAGGAGGGTTTGTCCCACCTGCTGAGTGGTGCTTGCCCAATTCTGGCCTCAAGGAGTTGTCAGGATGCATTGCTATGACCAATAGGGAGAAAGAATGCGGAGAAAAACCCACAGATGATGAGAAGCTGAACTGCTTTTGCGTTCAGGAGATGCTATCTTCCTATTACGAGTGAGTCAATCATCTCGCATGCTTCAACAACTATCTTCGTTCAATATCCGAAGTGTGCCGAGGACGGCTTTTCTGTAGACACTTCCAAGCTGCAAACGTATCTCAAGGATTGAGCTAAGTTATTGGAAACAGTTGCAAAAGCGATATAACCCGCTGCCTAGAATCGCCTCTGTTCAACCCCCAATTCGACGAAAAGATCCGAAAGTGGCACGAACTCTGCGACGACCGTCTAACCTCAACCTCGAAATTTACCACACCCACTCAGCCCACTCTCACGACTACCTACGACTTTGGTGCGTGCGACCGTCTCTACCAAAGCTGCGCAAGTGCAGATTATGAAACCAACGAATGCTCTCACAAATATCCATCGACCTCAAGTATGGCATTTACATCTTGTTTCTGTCAGCCACCAGTCTACTCTCTTATGTCTGAGTGCCAATACAATGGGAATGTGTCTTGCAAGAGGACAACGGCAGCGGAGTCGAATATCTATGGGTATTCGTTCTGCTCGTCCTTTTGGTCTGGCTCTGTAAGTTACATCATATTTAGTAGCTCTTGTAACTAATTTTCGACAGCAAACTATGGCTACAGTCCACCAGACCCCATCGATCTCATTTTCAGAACAGCCAACCATCCAAGTAACGGGGCAACCTACACAGATTCCCTCACCAACCGGATTCGCTACCCAAACCGCTACAAAATCAGAGAGTGGTGGACCAAAACATGTAGGTGAGAATGTCCAAGAGGAATTGAAATAAGAATGGCATGTTGATCTCGTCATCGGAAAGGTGCCACTGCAGATATACCAATTGAGATATTTACTTTTTTCTTGATTGTTAATGTTGTATGTTAACAAATACAAATACGGAGAAGGTTTTAGAATTGAGCACAGCTCATCCACTACTCACTCATGAGAGTAATAAAACAAGGCTCACATGACTACACAAATATTCCCTTTAATTCGGTCACAAACGAGCGAGAAGCTGTGCTATTCTTGAAAAAGGGATGGAGCCAACACCAATGTGGTTTCGGGAATATTAAGCGAC